CATCTGTCCTGGAATCGAAACACCTCCACACAGTCCTGTGAGTGTTTCGTTGAGTTTGACATCGACTCTTAGAACTTTCCCGACTGTCACACATCTGCAGTGAGAGAACTCAGTAGCGGAGTCCAGAGTGTGCTGGAGGGCAGTGGGGGGAGCCAACAGCGCCTCCTTTCTGCCTCAGTTTTACCAGCTACTTCTAAATCGGTACATTGTTTATAGGGAAGATGAGAAGAAAAGCCTTGAGGCTTGTCTAACTTTGTGGCAAACATTTTGGTGTGCTGGGTAGCTAAGTCTTCTTTGGGCTGTGTTGTCTAATTGGTATATAAAAATTGACATGGCAAGTTTGGATGCATCTGTTTCTGTTAAAAAAAAAAACAAACAGTTCTGGAAATGTGACTGGTGTATGGGCGCGAGGAAGCTCTTTTCAGGGCTAAAACTGAAAACTTGGAAGTTTGGGGCTCAACTTGAGATAAGTCATCTGAGCACACCAGGACATGTGAGCTGTTGATGTAGTGGGTCATTTTTCACCCTTGTAGTATAAAATAAACGTTTTGTAGAACAGAAACTAGCTTGTACTACTGAATTAACAGAAGTTCTACTAAAGTATAATGTCTTTTTTTAAAATTGACGTATATATACACATTGTTGCTGTTACCCTGACTGGATTTGAAAAGTGTGACGATTTATATATGTATATGTGTATATACATATATAGGTATGGGTGTGCACATATATGTAAAATACAGATACACACATCCAAATGGCCTAAAGCAGACATCTGTAATTACAGCTGCAGAATGCAAACCTTCTGGAAGGAGCGTTGTATCATAGTTCATTCATTCACAGTGGATCTTTGTTCCTTTTTACTGTGGTAATTTTTAGAGCCGAGTGTCACGTTTGGAGTTAGGTCGAAGTTGGGGTTTAGCTGCCTGCACTCTACACTGGGGTCCTCAAATAAACCGATGTGAATGTAGTCCCCCCCCCCCCGCCCCCCGTGTGAAGAAGCAGCCACACCCCAATGGAATAGGAAGAAAACTCTAGACTTGTTTTCAAGTTTTATCTTTTTTGTATATGGAAATAAAATGATGATCATAATACAACGACCCGTTGTCTCCTTTGTCTCAAGGTGCGAGGTTGTGGGGTCGGGCAGGGGAACTGAGGTTTCTGTTAATGGGGTGAGCAGTGGAGTAGCACTGTCCCCAGGAGGGCTCCTTTCCTGAACTGGGGCAGTTGTAAGTGGCCAGGCACCTGGTGTCTGGGCTTCCTGGAGAAGCTGGGGCTGGAGCTGAGCACCTCACTCCATCCAGTTCAGAGGTTGAAGGCCAGGCCTGGGGTTTCTTGCGGGCCAGAGGAGGTTCCTGTGGGCCAGGGTTGCATTTGCCAGCCCTGTAGGCTCCGCTGCCCACGCACACTGCCAGGCTGGGCAGGCAGCCCTGCACAATAATTTCCTAACGAGCGGAGAAGCTGTGAGGCCAAGCAATGTTGAGCATCGTGTGCAAAATGGGACTTCACAGGTGTGGCCTGAGTCCTGGGCTCCCTGGCTGACCTGAAAAAATATATAGTGAGGAAACCCTCCACCCCTGCCAGATCCGAGTGACATCAGGCTGGTGAGGTGAATACCTTCTAAGCACTCCCATTGCTGAGAGGATTTTAAATTCATCCTTTTATTGGGAGCATTGAGCAACCCCCAAACTCTCAGAGAAAGGTTGTGTTTGTTTTGTGGGTTTTTTTTTTTTTGTACTTTGATTAAATTTCATCTCAGAAGAATCACAGTACCATCAGTAATGGGAACATTCATATGGAAATGCTCACGGCCTGGTCCCTGACCCTTCTACCTTGCGTTGCTGCCAACCAGCTGTCCGAAGAGCTGCAGCAAGTAGAGGGACAGTTAGATGAAAAGTCACCCTTCCCAGCTAAGCCCCGTCTTCCAGCCAAGTGAGTCAGGAAAGGAGAAACTCCTAGGGAGAGGAAGAGGGCATCTCTTCTCCACTGGTTCACGCCTCAACTGGCCGTAACGGCTGGAGCTGAGCTGACCCGAAGCCGGGAGCTTCTCCAGCTCTCCCTCTTGGGGCCCAAGGACTTGCGCCATCCTCTGCTGATTTCCCATCGCAGTAGCAGAGAGCTAGACTGAAACAGCCAGGACTACAACTGGGGCTCACACAGGATGTGGGCGCCACAGGACGAAGCTTAACCCACTACACCTTACCCCTGGCCCCACGGAGAAAGGTTTTGATGAAAGGGTTCTTTATTTTAGAGCCGCTAGTCCAATCGTGATCCCGCTCTGCCTTTTCAGATGTGCTACTTGACAGGCGAGTGCCTCTGTTGAACACAAGAAGAGGGAAAAGGCTGCTTTCCATAGAGGAATTTGGAACTAGAAAAGCTGAAAAGTTGGGCCTTAGGGGTCATTTGGTCACACTTGTCCTTTATCAAATGAATTTTTTTTGGCTAGTAGGAGTGTGTGACATGTGGTCTACAAAAGCAGCTTTGAGGATACAGTATGATGCCAGGATCCCATACTGAGGCCAGTTCATGTCCCAGTACAGCTCTCTGCTAGTGGCCTGGGAAAGCGGCGGAGGCTGGCCCAAATCCTTGGACCCTTATCACATGGGAGACCTAGAGGGGGCTCCAGGCTTCAGAAAAGTCCTTGTGACCATTTGGGGAGTGAACAAGCAGATGGAAGATCCTTTTGTCTTTCCTTCTCTTTGTAAATCTGCCTTTCCAAGAAAAATAAACAAATCTTCAAATAAACTACAGATCTTTAAAATCAAGGCCAAGTAGAAGAGGGTGAGGGGTTGTTTGGCTTGTCGTCGCATCTCTGAAATAAAAGACTTATTTATTTTTTTTTTAAAGATTTATTTTTATTATTTTTTGATTGGAAAGGCGGATATACAGAGAGGAGAGACAGAGAGGAAGATCTTCCGTCCGATGATTCACTCCCCAAGTGAGCGCAACGGGCCGATACTTTGCCAATCCGAAGCCAGGAGCCTCTTCCGGGTCTCCCACGCGGGTGCAGGTTCCCAAAGCTTTGGGCTGTCCTCGACTGCTTTCCCAGGCCACAAGCAGGGAGCTGGAAGGGAAGCGGGGCTGCCGGGATTAGAACTGGCGCCCATATGGGATCCCGGGCATGCTAGGCGAGGACCTTAACCACTTGCGCCACCGCGCCGGGCCCAAGACTTATTTATTTTTATTGCAAAGTCAGATATACAGAGAAGAGGTAAGACAGAGAGAAAGATCTTCCATCCGATGACTCACTCCCCAAGTGACCACAACGGCTGGTGCTGTGCCAATCAAAAGCCAGGAGCCAGGAACTTCCTCCAGGTCTCCCACACGGGTGCAGGGTCCTAAAGCTTTGGGCCATCCTCGACTGCTTTCCCAGGGCACAATCAGGGAGTTGGATGGGAAGTGGAGCTGCCGGGATTAGAACCGGCAAGGCGAAGACTTTAGCCGCTAGGCCACAGCACTGGGGTGCATCTCTGAAGTCTTACGCCACCCCTGTGGAACAGGAGTCTTTTCTGACCACTGTTTCCAAACTGCTTGTCCCATCCTACCACTTGACAGGTCGGCAGACAGGCCCAGAGGGAGCCCCCTTACCCTGTTAGGCAGCCCTTCCAATTCTGGGCAGCCTTGAGGCGAAAATGGGATTAACTGGTTTGGATCTGGATGGGGAAAAGCCACCTGCCATTTCTGTCTCTTGGAGTTCTGAGAACTAATTTTTTAAAGAATATTTATTTATTTTAAAGATTTATTTTATTTTCATTACAAAGTCAGATATACAGAGAGGAGGAGAGACAGATATACTGAGAGGAGGAGAGACAGAGAGGAAGATCTTCCGTCCGATGATTCGCTCTCCAAGTGACCACAATGGCCAGTGCTGCGCCAATCCGAAGCCAGGATCCCAGAGCTCTTCCAGGTCACGAACCAGGACATGAACCCCACACAATGAGGATTTAGCCATTAGGCCCTGAGAAATACTTTGGTAATCATGTATTTATTATATTCCACTGGTGGCTGTTGGTGGTCCTTCCCAACACAAGGGAGAGAGACCATCTGGGAAATGGGGGCTTCCCTAGGAGGATCCGGGAAGGAAAGGCAGATGGAGAGTGTGGGAGTCTGGCTCTGCCACCTGTGGGTCAGCCTTTTCTCCTTCGCTGCAGAAACCTCTGCTCCTCCCCTACTGCCAAGACAAGGCTGCAGACAGCGCTAGAGCCTGGTCTTGGATTGACCCTGTCTGCCCTGTCAGGATCCAAGATCCAGGGGACTGCATTTCCCAGGGCTGAAGTACCAAGTTTTAGACATCAAGGCTTCCTAAGCAAGGTCTGGAGTCCTTCACTGACTTGTTACCAATTGCCTCCTGCTGAGTGCACTGTCCTCGAGGTCGGATAAAAGGATTCCTACCTGCTGTCCAAGCAAAGGAGTCTAGGAGGTTCTGCAAGGCAGTTTGCATGGAAAGCCTGGCAAGTTACCTGGGGGTGTTAAGTCCATGTCATTTCTTATTCTCATGAGAACCCCGCAAAGGGTAACCATTCCCATTGAGAGCACAGGACCCAAAGCTCAGCGAGGTGCAGTACCTCATCGAGGTGGAACCAGCTGGCTGTAGGTCCCTGTCCCTACCGTCTCAGTGCGAGGTCCAAGCCATGGTGGGTTGCTGCTGCGCCAGGACACCTCATAGGAGCCTTCTTCTGACGTTAAGGTTTGTGTCCACGTGACCCCACCGCCAGGTTTTGGAATCAGGCCTGAACTGAAGCCTCGGTGTATGACTACCAGGCATCTTTCTGTTCAGGGCTGTGCAGGCACAATGAAGTGCCCTGCTTTGCCCACCATCCATCACCCAGCCCACGCGACCAGGGATGGAGAAGGGGCGCCACCAGAGGGCGTGCGAGGTCCGCTCCCGAGGGACAGCGGCCGGGGCGCAAGCGCATTCGGTCCCCGCCACAGCGATGGGCGCTCAAGCTTCGGGTCCGCCGTGCGCATGCGCGGTGGGAAGGGGCAGGTGCTCAGGAAAGATGGCTGCCAAGGCTTTTGCTTCCCGCCTCAAAGGTTCCCGGGTCTTCCTGAGGGGCTTCATGGTCGGGGCTGCCGTGGGCGCCGCGGGTGGCGGGCTCACGGCCCTGCAGCTGTTCCGGGGTCAGGACGCCGAAGCCGCCTGGGCGGGGAGGGAGCCGGACGGTGAGTGTGGGCATCCTGGACCTGACCGTCCCGGCGGGCATCCAGCTGGCATGGGCGCCCTCCGGGTATCAGCTTCCAGCAGCCGCGCCCCTGCCCAGCTCGGCGGCTCCGCCCGGACTTGGCACCTGGCGTCTCCGCAGGTTAGCTAGTGAGTGCTGGCTGTCGCGGGGCACCTGAGGGACAACGCTGGAGCACCGTGCTGACATGCAGTGCACGCCTGCTTCTCCCCCAGGACAGCCAAGACCTGTGCTCCCAGGGCCTGTTGCAGCTCGCAACCCTGGGACTGCGTTCCAGGAGTGTTGGTGATGATGGCTTTGATTTGTAAAATCGATTGAGACCCTTTTTTTTTTTTGGAAAGGCACAGTTACAGCGAGAGAGGAATAGACAGAAAGATCTTCCTTAGCTCCCAGCAGTGGCCGCATCTGAGCTGCTCCAAAGCCAGAACCTTCTTCCGTGCGTCCCCCGTGTGGGTGCAGGGGCCCAAGCACTTGGACCAGCTTCCGCTGCATTCTCAATGCACGTTAGCAGGGAGCTGGATGGGAAATGGAGCTGCTGGGACTTGAATCAGTGTCCGTATGGGATGCAGCACTCGCCCCAGTGATGGCCTTTTGAAAAGTGAAAGAAGTTCTTGGGCCCCTGTACCCACGTGGGAGAGGAGGCTCCTGGCTCCTGAGCTCAGCTCTGGCCATTGCGACTATTTGTGGAGTGAACCAGTGGGTGGAAGATCTTTCTGTCTGTCCTTCTCCCCGCGAACTTGGCTTTCCAATAAAAATAAATGAATCTTAACAACAAAAAAAGAATATGGCAGCTGCAGCTCATCTTGCTCTCGTGACACAACTGGTCCTGCTTAGAAACAAGGTTTGTTTTTTTTTTTATTTTGTGATAAGCAGTTGCAGAAGTGAGATCTTCTGTTAGACTTTGGAGCTAGTCCCCGATGAACCACAGCCTCTTCCGCCTTTCATGATAACCTCAGTGAGAGTCGTTCACTGTTGCTTTTTTTTCCTTCACTCTCCTTTTCATTTTTAGGATCTACAGAAAAGGCTGTGTTGGGCCGCTTTGGGTTCCCAGACGCCGGGACGGAGACCAGGTGTTACACTAATCACGCCTTGTCCTACGATCAAGCGAAGAGAGTGCCCAGATGGGTTCTCGAACATATATCCAGAAACAAGATAATAGGTAGGTGATTGGCAAGATGATCTCAAGGCATCGACGGAAAACATTTCCAAGTTTAGGACAAGGAGATTAGATCCACTGATCATATTTTCAACATTTTTTTTTATATATAGCACAGTGCATGTGGGAAATATTGGTGTGGCTTATTTTGTTTTTTATTTTTTGTAGGATTTGTTTATTTGAAAATCTGTGTTCCAAGAGGGAGACAGAGAGAAAAAGAGAGATTTGGTCCCCAAGTTTCCAGTTAAAAACTGATGTTTTTATTTCTATTTATTAGTTATCAATGAAGGTTGCATTTTGTGACTTATTCTTTGCAGTTCATTCTTTACTCATTTTCTTTTTTAAAGATTTAAAACATTTTTATTTTGATTGGAAAGGCAGATCAGATTTACGGAGAGAGAGAGAGAGACAGATCTTCCATCCACTGGTTTACTCCCCACATGGCCTCAGCAGCTGGAGCTGAGCCAATCCAAAGCCAGGAGCTTTGTCCAGGCCTCCCACATGGGTGCAGGGTCCCAAGGCTTTGGGTCATCCTCTGTTGCTTTCCTAGGCCACAAGCAGGGAGCTGGACAGAAGTAGAGCAGCCGGGACACAAACCGGTGCCCATAGGGGACCCAGGGTATACAAGGGAATGATTTAAGCATTGAGCCATAACCCTGGGCTCTCTTTACCCATTTTAAGTGGGAGATATCCTTTCTGTTTGTATGTATAGCATAGGTCTCAGATGTTGCTATGGTTATTTTATTCCAGTTTCCCTTTTTCTTTTCTTCTTTTTTTTTTTTAAAAATCTCTTCATTTATTCTTATTCTTATTCTTATTACAAAGTCAGATATACAGAGAGGAGGAGGAGAGACAGAGAGGAAGATCTTCCATCCAATGATTCACTCCCCAAGTGACCACAACGGAGGCTGATCCGAAGCCGGGAACCAGGAACCTCTTCCGGGTCTCCCACATGGGTGCAGGGTCCCAAAGCTTTGGGCCGTCCTCGACTGCTTTCCCAGGCCAGAAGCAGAGAGCTGGATGGGAAGTGGAATAGTTGAGACATGCGCCGACACCCATAGGCGATGCTAGGGACCTTTGTTACTTGGCTGCAGTTTGATGTATAGTCCACATATTTGTTCGCTTTTGAAACTGTGTGTTTCATCTGTGAATCTGAAGCTGCTGATGTTGAAATTAGTGTGTGCCTTTTCCGACCGTGTGAGAGCAGCAGAGTAGAGGAGGCTCAGTATGTACTGGCTGTTAAAGGGAAACTGGTGCTGGCTGTGTGCACACTGTGTTAAGCCTGCGGTGATTCAAGCAGCTGCTGGTTCCAGTTAAGCCAGGTGCTGGCTTGAGTCCCACCTCTGCTCCACTTCCCATCCAGCTCCCTGCTAATGCGCTTGGGAAAGCAACAGAAGATGGCCCAAGGCCTTGGGTCCCTGTACCCTCATGGGAGGCCCAGAAGAGTTTCCTGGTTCCTGGCTTCAGCTCAGTTCAGCTCAGCTCCAGACACTGTGGGCATTCGGGGAGTGAGCAGGATATGACAGCTCGCTCTTTTTCTGTCCTCCTCACCCTGTAATGCTGTAATAAATGGCCCAGGACCTTGAGACCTTGCACCCACATGGGAGACACAAAAGAGGCTCCTGGCTCCTGGCTTTGGATTGGCTTAACTCTGGCCATTGTGGTGTGATCACTTGAGGAGTGAACCGCAGATGGAAGATCTTTCTGTCCCTTCTCTGTAAATCTGCCTTTCCAATAAAAATACATGAATCTTTTAAAAAGGGGGGAAGGAGCCTGCAGAGGTGATAATTCTGTTGTAGCAGTTAAATATGTCAAGAGAAAAAAATCTGGTTTCGTCTTAAGCCTTATAAATTTTTTAAACAGAAAAATGGTCTTAAGGTACAGTGGATTTCAACTTCCCTGCCTTCATCCTGCTTTTAATGCCTCATTTCCAGAAGCATGTAAGAGCAACAGCACACATCACATTCTAGCTCCTGTGAGCTCTGTAATTTTATGGTCATAAAACAGAGCCAATTAGCACTCCTTGAGAACCAGAAACAGGGCGTGTGTTTTACTTGGTTTTGATGTAAGGAAGTTTCTGTTTTTAGTCACGACACACTGACTCTCCTGCTGGAGACCCCAAGGACTGTTACTAGCAGTTGTTAAAAAGTGTATTTTTAAAAGTCACTTGGAAAAAAAAAAAAATGGAGCGATGACAGGATAGTGGAGAGTTGCCAGGCCAGTTCTTCGGGGAAACCAGAATCAGGAGAGGTAGGGCTGGTTCTTGCAAACTGGCTCATTTGTTCTGGATGCCTTAGTCTTGCGGTGTAAGGAGGGTTAAACGAAAGACTCAGGCTCTCCCTGTAGGAGAGACCCTCTCTGCATTAACTGGGAACCCCAGTGGGTTTCTGCATTCTTAGAGCGAACAGGACTAACCAGTAGGGCCTGCCTGGGAGCTGGTTTTCTTCCTGAGCAGAGGAGGTCGGAAGGGAAGATGAGAGAAGCCACACTCTGATAGTCGAGCGGGGTAGACAAGCGTGGGTGGGGAATCATTCAGGGGACCTTGGTCCCTGGGGTGCTTGCAAGTGGCCCTCCCCTGGCGCGTTTTCTCAGGCCTTGAGAAATCTCCATCATCGGTTTTGCCGGGCAGTCAGTACCAGGCACGCAGGGGAGTGGCTCTGATGGTGTGGGCATTCCCAGGTTTGCTGAAGATTCCCAGTTTGGGTGCTTTAGGAAGCCACGTCCTTGCACCCTGGCCAACGGACTTCATTTTTTATCTGAGCAAAATGAGCTCGGGAGCCCTCACTTTGCCAATCGCCAGGTTCTACTTTTTTTGTTGTTGTTGTTGTTAGCAGCAGTCCTAGCCTGATCCTTTTTGGAGCTTGGTGAGATTTGACCTATGGACAGTACAGCATGCAGCGTTAGAATTTGTGGATGTTCTCTCTGGCAGGCCATTGTGGAAGTATCAGAAAACAAGTCCACGTGGAGATTTCTCCTCCCCCCACGTGCTATGCAAAGATCCTGGAAATTGAATTTCTGGGTGGAGCTAGGGACTAGTCTGCGTCAGTTCAGGCGCAGTGTGTGAACTGCCCCAGGAACTGAGCGATCTGTGTGGCCAGCACGGCCAAGGGTCCACCCACAGCTTACTGCTTTGTGTATCTGCCCCCAGGTGACGCCGACAGAAAGCACTGTAAATTCAGGCCTGACCCCAGCATCCCTCCAGCCTTCGGAGCCTCCAACGAGGACTACATCGGAAGTGGGTGGTCCCGAGGACACATGGCGCCCGCAGGAGACAACAAGTTTTCCAGTGTAGGGATCTTCGGGGGGGAAGGGGTGGGGTCTTCTGCGGAGGGGCGGGGTCTTCTGCGGAGGGGCGGGCAGACAGGGCTTATGCTTTGTCCCACGAGACTTGGAGAGCCAGCAAGCACACTTTACAGCCTGAGATGGTTTCAAATAGGCCAATGGGCAAGACCAAGGGCCAAGCAAGAGGGACTTGGAGTGTAAAGCCGCTGGAACCCGAAGCTGAGCTGCTCACTTATTCTTTTTCTTTTTTATTAAAAAAAAAGATTTATTTACTTTTATTGGAAAAGCAGATATACAGAGAGGAGGAGAGACAGGGAGGAAGATCTTCTGTCCAGTGATTCAATCCCCAAGCGACCGCAATGGCTGGAGCTGAGCCAATCCAAAGCCAGGAGCCAGGAGCTTCTTCCAGGTCTCCCATTGTGGGTGCAGGGTCCCAAGGCTTTGGGCCGTCCTCGACTGCTTCTGCTTTCCCAGGCCACAAGCAGGGAGCTGGGTGGGTTGGATGGGAAGTGGAGCTGCTGGGATTAGAACTGGCGCCCATATGGGATCCCGATGTGTTCAAAGAGAGGACTTTAGCCGCTAGGCCACTGCACTGGGCCCTCAGTAGGTTTTAAACCATCAATGGAATGTTGCAAATATGCTGGTACTTGATCCCTATGTGGAATGCTCAGAAGCATGAGTGAGGGTGTTTATATGTATGCTGAGGGTATCATTATACAAAGAAGTGTGTGCCTGACTACTTTGTTTAGGACTCGGTGTTCAGTTAAGAGCCATCGATGGTTGTCGTGTCTCTTGCGCTTCCGTGAATCTAGGCTGATTTTCCCACGTTGACAGCCTGTGAGCTGGCGGCGATCGTTGTCATTAAGATGATCTCAGGCTTGGGCAATCACGATCGTCGCTTGGGGAAGTTTCCAGAAATCCTTGAGGTCCAGGATCTGTGCCTCTTCTCCGTGAGAAACTCCCTGGAATCTTGCTTCTAAAGCCGTGCAGGTGATTCACTGCGCATCCAAGACCGAGAGCCCCTGCTCGGAGAGGATGCCACCGCGGCTTCGGCCACACCGTTCCCGACAAAGCAGAGCCCTTGTGTGCGTGGGTCAGAGTGTGGAGTGGGTGGTCAGAACGTTAGCGTGGGTGCTGTACCACGTCGGTACAATTCAGGAGAGCTGACCTCTGTGTAGAAACTGTTATCAAAGACTTGCAACAGGACTTGGAGTTGATGTTAAGGGAGTTGAATTCTCTGAGTGGTGAAGCCGGAGGCACCCGGCTGTTCTCTCTTCCTGACTCCAACTTCGCAGAGCCATGGAGCTCTGTGTCTGGAATGGCTTGTCTTTCTGCTTTTTGTCTGGTCTGTCCTTGACCAGCGTGGTTGCCCAGAGCTCACGTGAGCAAGCAGCAGGCTTTCCTGTGTCTGCTTTGTGCAATGGCTGGAAAGTGGGAAGGCAAGGCCATGTACGTAACATTTTTTTTTTTTAATTTCTTTTGACAGAAAGCCATGGCAGAAACCTTTTATCTCTCCAATATTGTACCTCAGGATTTTGATAACAATTCTGGATTTTGGAACAGGTGGGTGTCTGCGTAAACAGGTGGGGGGCTCTGTGGAGGGTGGCTGTCGGGTCTGTGTCCTGGGTCTGCCCCATTGAAGGTAAGTTCTCTGGGTTGTTTGCTTCTCTGTGTTTGGAGCATTGTCTTTTTAAAATTTTATTTTTTATTGGAAAGTCAGATATACAGAAAGGAGGAGAGACAGAAAGGAAGATTTTCCATCTGATGATTCACTCCCCAGCGGCCACAACAGCGGGAGCTATGCCGATCTGAAGCCAAGAGTCAGGAACTTCTTCCGGGTCTCCCACACGGGTGCAGGGTCCCAAGGCTTTGGCCATTCTCGACTGCTTTCCCAGGCCACAAGCAGGGAGCTGGAGGGGAAGCAGGGCTGCCGGGATTAGAACCGGCGCCCATATGGCGTGCCGACACATTGAAGGTGAGGACTTTAGCCACTAGACCACGCTGCCGGACACCTGGAACATAGTTATTTTAATGGGAAAATAAACCTCAGAGATCAAAAAGCCTTTTTTTTAAAATCTCATTTACTGCTCTGCAGAGTCAAGTCTTGAGAGACACTAGTAGATATTTCTAACAGTGTGTCCAGAGGAAACTGTTTCTATATTCCAATGTTTCTTTCTTTTTTTTTTTTTAAGATTTGCTTTTTTTAATTGGAAAGTCAGATATACAGAGAGGAGGAGAGACAGAGAGGAAGATCTTCCGTCCGATGATTCACTCCCCAAGTGAGCGCAACGGCCGATGCTATGCCGACCCAAAGCCAGGAGCCAGGAACTTCTTCCAGGTCTCCCACACGGGTGCAGGGTCCCAAAGCTTTGGGCCGTCCTCGACTGCTTTCCCAGGCCACAGGCAGGGAGCTGGATGGGAAGTGGAGCTGCCGGGATTAGAACCGGCGCCCATATGGGATCCCAGCACGCTCAAGGCGAGGAGTTTAGCCGCTAGGCCACCCCGCTGGGCCCATGATACACATTTCTTGAAAAACATGTATTTGAGAACTCAGTGCGAAATCTTAGTGGCTAAATCCTTGCCCTGCATGAGTTGGGATTCCATATAGGCACTGGCTGCTCCATTTTCCATCCAGCTTCCTGCTGGTAGCCTGGAAAGGCAGTTAAGGATGACCCAAAGCCTTGGGACCCTGCACCCACGCAGGAGACCATGACTCCTAGCTCCAGATCGGCTCAGCTCCAGCTGTCGCAGCCACTTGGGAAGTGAGCCAGCGGATGGAGGATCTTTCTCTCTGCAAATCTGCCTTTCCAATAAAAAAATCAAAAAATCTTAGAAAAACTTTTGTCAGAGAACTACAGCATAACAATACTTAACAAAATTTCACCTCTAGCATGGCCACTAAAGTCAAGGAGAGGAAAACCTGGATACTTGTGCTAATGAGTGTATGTTGAAGTGTATTTTGACTTTCTTGGATGTAGCGTTCTTGGGGGTCCGTGACTTTCTCTTCTACATGTGTATGTTAGCAAATGCCCTTTTTGGCCCTGCTTTTCAGAGTGGAAATGTACTGTCGGGAACTGACAGAGAGGTTTGATGATGTTTGGATAGTGTCCGGGCCTCTGACCTTGCCTCAGACCGGAAATGATGGCAAGAAGACAGTCAGCTACCAGGTACGGCCGTTTGTGTTAGCATCGTTTTATTTATGTGGGATTGTGATCTCATTCTGTCTTTTTTTTTCTTAAGATTTAGTTTTTATTCATTCATTTATTTATTTATTAAGATTTATTTTTATTGCAAAGTCAGATATACAGAGAGGAGGAGAGACAGAGAGAAAGATCTTCCGTCCGATGATTCACTCCCCAAGTGAGCGCAACGGCCGGTGCTGTGCCAATCTGAAGCCGGGAGCCAGGAGCTCTTGTGGGTCTCCCATGCGGGTGCAGGGTCCCAAGGCTCTGGGCTGTCCTCGACTGCTTTCCCAGGCCACGAGCAGGGAGCTGGATGTGAAGTGGAGCTGCCGGGATTGGAACCGGCGCCCATATGGGATCCCGGCGCTTTCAAGGCGAGGACTTTAGCGGCTAGGCCACCTGCGCTGGGCTATCGTTCTTTTTAATTTCTTCTGTCAACAAAATGTATCAAACACCTCTTGGGGTGTTAGGCAGGGAGCATGTAGGAATCAATAAAAACCAGCCATTGACTTAAAGGCGCTCATGCGTTAGGGCGACAGATGGTCACAGTCACGTTGGTGTAACAGGTGGTCATTGAAGCACATAATGTGGCGTCCCCAGAGGTCTGGCGCCCTCTGCTGGTGTAGGTCAGGAATGCTTAACAGAGATGTGCAGGCCTAAGGACAGTGAGTTAGGGGAGCAGCGTCAGCGCCGTGTAACAGGCCAGGGCCTGGGTCTCATTCCTGGGGAGTGGAACTCAGGATACAAAGACAGGAGTGGCTCAAGCGGCACGGAAAATTTGGTTCTTTACTAGATGCTTTTCTTTATTCATTTATTTTAGAAAGCTTTTTTTTTTTTTAAAGAAAAGACTTATTTTGTTTTTGTTGGAAAGTCAGTTATACAGAGAGGAGGAGAGGCAGAGAGGAAGAACTTCCATCTGCTGATTCACTCCCCAAGCGAGCGCAACAGCTGGAGCTGAGCTGATCCAAAGCCAGGAGCCAGGAGCCAGGAGCAGTTCCAGGTCTCCCACGTGGGTGCAGGGTCCCAAGGCTTTGGGCCATCCTCGACTGCATTCCCAGGCCACGAGCAAGGAGCTGGATGTGAAGTGGAGCAGCCGGGACTAGAACCAGCGTTCTGCAGTGTGCTACAGAACCAGCCCGAGTGATGAGCGTTTTTTGCAGCGGCCAGCAGGGGGCGCCAGAGCATAGTGTTTTTCTATGGTGACTGGGTTTTCATTTTTTAGGCACCAAGAAGTTATAGACTCCTGTCTGTCTCTCTGTGTCTGAAATATTTTTTTGTAAAGGAGAGAAAGGGAGGGAGTGAGATCTTCCATCTACTGGTTCACTCCCCAAATAGGTGCAGTAACAGGGAGCTGGGGGCCCGGTGTGACAGCCTAGTCGCTGAAGTTCTCGCCTTGTATGCACCAGGATCCCATATGGGATCTACTTTGTGTCCTGGCAGCTCCACTTCCCATCCAGCTCCCTGCTTGTGGCCTGGGAAGGCAGTCGAGGACGGCCCAGAGCCTTGGGACCCTGCACCTCCATGGGAAACTCTGAAAGAGGCTCTGGGCTCCTGGCTTCAGATTGGCTCAGCTCCAGGTATTGCAGCCACTTGGGAAGTGAACCAACGAACGTAAGATCCTTCTCTCTCTCTCCTTTTCTTTGTATTTCTGGGATTTTCAATTCAAATAAACAAATAAATCTTTAGAAAATAACAGTAACAAACAGGGAACTGGATCCGATGTAGAGCAGCCAGGACTTGAACTGGAGTTCAGAAGAATGCCAGTGTCGCAGGCATCGGCTTAACCCACTGCACCACTGCAACAAACCACAGCATGACTTGTCTCTTTTATAGCTCTATTTAATTTTATTTTTAAAAATAAACTGAGTTTCCTTTTGCTTATGTGTACATGGTTGAGGAGGATACATGCTCATGTGGACCACAGGTTTGATGAAAGTTTTTGAGGAATGGGGGAAGTACATGAGATAATTGCTTCCTATTTTTTTCTTTCTTCCTGTATCTAGAGGAAGTGGGGGAAGTCCTGGTTGTCATGTTCACCAGTGGGAGCAGTGTCGCAGCAAGAGAGCCCCCACAATCCCCTTTCCCCGGCTCACTCAGGGTACCTCCTCAGGGTCTTGCATGTGCTGGTGGATGCAACGGCCTGGTCTGGTGTGGCCCACCTCACTTTGGCATTTGCCGGCAGGTACTGTAGCCTGGCCAAGCCCAACCTGCCCCCGATTTCCAGTTCATGCTGGTGGGTGCTGCAGCCTAGCCTGGACCAGCCAGTCCCCAGTCTTGGCCCTAATGTGAACTGGCTGTTGTTGTGGCCAGTTCTGTCCTGCATCCTCTTCTGGTTCTCGCATCTGCTAGTGGATGCTCTAAACTGGCCCAGCCTGGCCCGCCCCCAGGCCTGACCCACATGTATGCCAGCAGGTATTATAATCTGGCCTGGTATGGGTTGCTCCCAGCCTTGGTGCTTGCGCTTAGCATCAGGGACTGCATTGTGACAGAGGGGTTCTCCAAGGTCCTCTGTCAGCTCACCTCAAGCACACAGGTGGGCTCTTGGCCCAGCCACCTGTTCTGATGAGCCCACACCCATTTCAGCTCTCACCTTTGGGTGCTACAACCCAACCCTACCTGGCTACCCCCAGCCCTGGCTATTATGTGGTTCAACAAGTGTTGAGAACTAGCCTAGACTGTGCTACACCCACTCTGGCTCTTATGAGCACCAGCAGGTGCTAGAGTCTAGCCCCATCTGACACACCCCAGACCCAGTCTACACCCATGCCGAGGAACACTGCAGCCACGCCCAGCTCCGATCACCACCTCTATTCCAGCTCTCATGCACAGCAGTAGGAATTGCAGCCTAACCAGGCTGTCCTCTTAGCTCCCCAACCAGGCCTGCTCCTAGCCACAGATCTTGTACATGCTCATGGTTGTTCTGACCCTGCTCGGCACAGCCTATCCCCTAACTTGACCTGGTGCCATTGGATGCTGCAGCCCGGCCTGCCCTGGGCCCACTCCCATTCCTAACTGGCTGGTGGGTGCTGTAGCCTAGCCATGGCCCTTCTTGCCCCATTCCTGGCTCTCATGTAGTCTAGTGGGTGTGACTGCTTGGCCCTGTGTGACCTGCACTGCATTCTGGCTCCTGAACATGCTAGTGTGCTATGGTTTAACCTGCAGCCCTCCCTCCCCCACCCCCCATCCAACCCAAACACCTACCAGTAAGCGGAACAGCTGTGCCTGGCCTGACCAACACTCAGCCCTGATTCATGTGCTCACCAGCAGGAGCTATAGCCCACCAGGGAGATTCCCCCAGTTCCCCAACCAGACCCGCTCCACTCTTGGCCTTTGTGTGTGCTGGTGGATGTTGTGGCCCAGCCCCGCCCCACACCCAATTCTTGAGTGTACCTACAGATACTGCAGCCTGAACCAGCCTGGCCTGTTCCCAACCCTGTTGGTGAATTCCATGGTTATATCTAGTTTAACCCATCACCACTTCCAGCTCTTGAGCAAACCAGCAGATATTGCAATCCTACGGGGGTGAGCCCACACCTCCCCCACACACAGAATCCACCCCCCCAGACCCAGTTCTCTCTTTTGTTGGTTAGTGTCATGACTCAGCCTAACATGGCCCATCCCCTGTCCTGATGCTCACTGGCTGGTACTGTGGTCTAGCTCTGCCAGTTAGGCTTTCCAGCCCTAGCTGTAGCATGCGCCAGCAGGCAGTGGGCAGTGCTAGCTAGCCCAGCTTGGGTCTCCCATGTGAGCATGTGCATTGGTCTGACTCAGAAAGGTCCTCCATTCTCCCCTGTCAAAACTGCTCAGTCTCAGCCTCCTTGCTTACCTGCGAGTACAGTGGCCTTGTTGGTGGAAGTGCCCTAGAAATCGTTACTTACCTGCAATGTCCCCCCGTTGTGGTCCCCCCTTCCACACATCCCATACTCACTTCCCTGAGCGATCCACAGCCCTTGTGCCTGGAACACATGGGCTCCCCAGCTTGGTCTTCTTCCAGCAGGGAGACATGTTGGCCTGGAGCCCAACCTGCCCACTTGGGATCCAAGTGCATGCATGTATGGATCCCCAGGCCTAGTCCTCTGGTGCAGGTGCTGACCTGGGACCCAAGCAGGCGCACGAGTCTCCCAGCCTGATCTATCAGCACACCACGTCAGCACGCCAGCCCGAGACCTTACTTGCCTCGCACCCTGCTTGTCCATCCATACAAGGACCCAGGCACCTGTGTGATTCCTCAGGCTCATTCCACCAGCTGCTGGCACAAAGTCCCCGGGCCCTGGAGCCCACTGTAGCAAGCTGGTGGCTGCAATGGAAGCAGTAATATTGATTTATTTAGTTATTAAAAGGCAGGGTGATGCAGAGAAAGGGGAAAGGGAGAAAGATGTATTCCATCTGCTGGTTTACTTCCACACGTGCACAGTAACAGCCGGGGCTGACAGCCGAGAGCCAGGCACTGCAGTGGGGCATCCCATTAGGGCCCGGCCGACACGGGCCATTGTAGTTAAGCTGTAATCTGCGGACTACCAAGTGCTGGGTTGAATACAGAGTATTCCCACTCTGGGATACAGGCATTCCAGGCAGTGACTTGACCCTCACAAACATAAGCATGGGAAAAATGTGATTTGTCTGAATTTTTTTAAGGGTTATTTATTTTTATTGGAAAGTCAGATATACAGAGAGGAGGAGAGACAGAGAAGATCTTGTGTCCACTGGTTCACTCCCCAAGTGGCCTCAACAGCTGGAGCTGAGCCAATCCAAAGCCAGCAGCTAAGAACTTCTTCCATGTCTCCCAGATGGGTGCAGGGTCCCAAGGCTCTGGGTCGTCCTCTAATGCTTTCCCAGGCCATAAGCAGGGAGCTGGATGGGAAGCGGAGCATCCTGGAAATGAATTTGGCACCCATACGGGATCCTGGACTTTAGCCACTAGGCTACCATGCCGGGCCCATCTGAGTGTGATAAAGAGTAGTTTACGGCAGGGTAGAGAGAAGTAG